ATATGGAGGGAAACTTTCTTTGTTGGTTGCCAAGGGTGGGAGGGGAGGGGAGGGAACAATGCAAAAGAAAAGAAAAACAATGCATTGAATGTCACTTTAGTTTTGTGTATTTCACTATACATAAATTATATTTCAATAAAATGCATTAAAAAAAAAAAAAGAATAGGAACCAAATCATATTGCTTTGGTCATGCTCAGCTATAAAGACTTTTGCTTGACAGTGACTCAATACATACTTAAAGAAGGAAAAGATGTAAGGAAAAGAGGAGGGGGTGGGGGAGAAAGTGGGGCTAGGGAGGGAGAAAAGGAGGAAGAAGGGAAGGAAATATCCCTATCTGCCTCTTATCCAGCCATAGCCTCTCCATTAGGCCAGGACGTCACAGAGCCAAGATACATGACCACTTGGATCCCCTTCTAGACCACATTCTGAGAGATCCTAAAATTTCTTACCCAAATAACCTCAAGCCCATATATGGGGCCTCTTTTTGGCTCTTTCCTGGGTCAATTCTCCAAGAGTGAACTGAACTGTAAGTGTGTACATCCATTTCATTTCAAAAAAAAAAAAAAGGAAAAAGTCCACTCACTCCCCTAAAATGTAAATAATTAGCCAAAAAGTCCTATATTTGTTTAGGCAAGTAGAATATAATCATATATGTACATCCCTACAGAAATAGGTATCTACATGCAATTTACTTCTATAAAATGACTATAAATGCTCATGCTGCTGAAATTTAAAAAAAAAAAAAAAACAAAGTGAAGGTGGAGTTGATTGGAATTTAAAATGTCATGGAAGTTCTATTAAAAATTACTTTCAGAACTCGCTATTAAAAAATCTGACGTTCTAATTAACCAAATATTCTTCAAGTGATTGATTGAGTTTAGCAGCATGCCAAGGAGCTGTCCAGAGTACTAAAATTATCTTCTCAATGCCTTCTGTAAAACTTTGTTCTAATAAAGATGAATTCTTTCAATAATATTTCCCCCTGTTCATTTTAACCAGAGAGAATTAGTTATCAGTAATCCCTTTCCTCTCATTTTGTCTTTTCTACCTCCTGTTTTCTACAACCTTTTAAATTGCTATTAACCTACTTTCAGATATCATCTAATTTAATGGAAGGGCTGGGGAATTTTCCAAGAGGCAAATAAAAGTGTAGAAGCAACTATCATATTTGAATTTTCCTTGCAGTACAGAAAAGAAAACATGGTAATTTATAGTTTGGATGTTTAAAATGAAAATATAAATGGAATTTAGATTTTAATAATTTCTCATGAACTGAATGACAACTAAGAATTTGATGTATTTTTTAAGCAAAGAAAGCTAAAATCATGAGCCAGACTTATAACACAAATTTCACAAGTGAGATCATTTAAAAGTAATGTATTTCATAGAAATATTTTATGGAGGTGTTTTAACTTCATTAAATTCCTGTGTACATAAATAGGTACTCAATGAGTACTTGACTGTGGATTAATGTTTTCCTGCAATTATAGGTAAATACATATTTAAATACAAGGGAGTGAGACCTTACACTTTCATGCAATTAAATAATTACCTATTTTCATGAAGTTCATACACTACTCTTGTAGCATATCTGTTTCATACAATTTTGGGTACAAGACCCAAATTTCAGATTATATATTCCCTCAGTGATTAATCTTAATATACTTCATAATTAGAAGAGATTTTATGTTTCTTTTGTATCTAAAGCTAGAAAAATTCCAAGAGACTTAGATCCAAATTTCAAAGCCTAATTAATTTTAAAGGCAATTAAACTGCTGGATTTGTCTAAGTTTGCTAAAACCCTGCAAAAATGTTTTTACATGTAAATTTTCAAAGCATTTTACCTTAGCTAATCTCTCAGGATCTCCAGGATGCCTTGGGATGACTTTCTGCAGTCTCTGGAAACCATAATCTATGGTGGGTTCATTTAATGCTGAAAAAGAAAAATTCTCTTTTTGAGTATGCTTCCTGGCCATAAAGCAAATCTTCTAATTAAATATTCCACAGGTAATAGAAAGGTCCTGATATTATCTAAGAATTTATACATAATGGATGTAATCAATTGTGATTTTTTGCTGTTGATACTGGTTAATTCACATGTAAAAGTTCAAATTTATATTAATTTTATGCTATCCATTAGAAGAGCATTTCAAAATTTCAAAGTTATTACAATTATTGTATCATTTATGTTTTATGCATACACACTTATAACTCTCATTCTCAAATAATCAAAGATATTACATAATCAACCATATCCCAGTGTCTTGTGAATGCAACCACTACCTTTAGATTCTTTTTCCTTCTTTCCTTTCTTCCTTCTCTTTTCCAGTGTGCATTTACCATCTATTAATTCTTCTCCTAAGTATCTTTTTCATAATTATTCTCTTAAATGTTTGCATGCAGTTCTACTCTGAAACACATAGGGTTGCCATGAATTGGAATCGAC